AGTAGCCAGTATTGAAGAACTAACTGGCAAAGACACCTGAATTGGATTAGTGCGTTTTTTCTGTTTGAACTCATGAACTATCATATGCGGTGGCCAAAATTTTGGGTCGCAAATAGTTTCAAAAGCTTCAAATGGAACACTAAGCTTAAAAGAAGCTATTTCTCGAGGCACGGAAAAATTAAATTTAGAAATGGAAACGCTAGCAGAAGATTTGCTAGCAATGTAAGCTGCGAGGGAAGGAGGGCATGCAGATGAGGTAAAAGCAGTATCGACCGTTACACCAGAGGGCAGTTCGCATTGATCCTTACGAACGCAAGAAACAGGCTCAGATGGTTTATGAGACGGCGCAGCTGCTTCACTGCGTGAGGGTGGGACAAATATAGGGGTCGCTGAGACAGTTATCGGCGAGGGTAAAGGGGAAGTATCAAACAGAATACCTGGAGAGGTTGACGGAGACAGCATTGGGGAGCAGTCAATGTTTTGAAGAGTTAATGGGAGAGGAGCAGGCGATTGAGGCGACAAAGAGGGCGCGACGGAAGGCACATTCAAAAAGTGAGTCTCCAACCTCTTTTTAGGTGGAGAATCAAATTTATACTTGCTAAGCAACTTAGCTCCTGAGTCGAAATCACTCGCAAGCTGCTTAGTCATCTTATGCAGCTTTACAAAATGATTTCTCACGTTACTGTACATACGCAACTGCAATTGGTCACAATCCAGAGCATCTTTAAATGTGCAAGACTTCTTGCAGCACGACATATTAACCACACAAGTTTTATAGGGTTAATTACAAAGAAAGCACAAACTAAAGTGCGCGAGCGCAAAGCACAAACAACAAAACGGCAGAAATAAAAAGCAACAGTACTACGCTGAGCGACGCTAAGCGAAAGCTCTGATGCAAATTGGTGAGAGCGGGGGTACAACAACAATTAAGTGAGCGCGATGCAAAAGAAAAAATGCACTGAAACACCCACACAAACTTGAAGATCAGAAGGGAGACGCCAGAAAAACGTCAGACAGAAAAAATAAGTAATAAGGCACCAACAACAAACACAGCAACAGAAGCCAAAATATTAAATAATACATTTTTATACTTATCGCTGCACAAGTTATCACACCAAACACAAGACAGTGTAGAGAATACAAAAAGCAAGCTTTATATGCCCAATTACAAATTTAAGTTCCAAAAGAACAACCAAAAATTAAATAAAATTGCGGAGCACAAAAAAGGCGCGTCTGATAGACTCAAGAGAAAGCTCTCATCTCTTGTACGCATTCTCTTAATTGCTCATACATGTCTACATGTCTACATATAAAAAATAATTTCGAGCCTTTTGTTTTACATATATACAATAACAAATTTATTATTTGCCTTAGTTTTGTTTTTTTTTTCAAATTTACAAAAAAAAATTTCAAATTTTATCTAATTTGCGCTTTGAAGAGCAAGCCAATCTCATCTCCACTAAAATGGGAAGATGCCGAGCAGCGCATCCTCTCCGCGTTGCTGGAGCGCCTTGATCATATGGCAGGGGAGGTGAAGCAGCTACACGAGAGGGTGAACTCACTGGAGCGCGAGGTCGGGGATCTGGCGGCATTGCGAGAGCGGGTCGGTGGGCTGGAGGCGAAACTTGCTTCTCAGCACAATGCAAAAATTGCATGTGACCTGCGGATACATGTCGTGCCCCACGCTGATGGCGAAAACGCAAGAGCACTTTACAATGCCCTCTGCTTCGCCATCAATGTTACACCACCGCCGAGGATTCGGGAAATTTTCGCACCGAAAAAATACCACTAAATTTACAAATGCTTGGCTTTGACTCTCTGGCTCCCGTTTATGTAAATGAGCAGCTTACTAGGGAGAACTATAATATATTTAAAGAAGCTATGAATCTCAAGAAACAAAAACATCTAGTTGCCGTCTTCACACGTAGAGGATTGGTGCATGTGAAGCATAAGGAGAGTGAGAGTGCGCGGCTTATTCAAAGCAGAGATGAGCTTTTTAAGCTCGCTCGCGTTGATGGGTTTCCCTTTCCTCCCTCTTCTACATGTAACTCTCCCTCTCAACCAGACTCTAGTTCTATCTAAGCGAACTTTTACAAGGTTCAAGTTTCGGCTAAGCTTAAATGTAAATGTACGTAGTTTAGTGTGCATATTGTTAAGTCTTGTTGTTTTTTCTATAGTGCGTAGGCGGTTGTTTGTCTTATGGTTCAAAATAACTTAAGACATAATTCCACAGCGAACAGCAAAACCATAATTAGGGTTCTTTGCAAGCAAAAGAAGGGTATACATATATGTCATATTAATGCACAGAGTTTATCAAAAAAGATGAATGAGTTCAGATATTTGTTTGTTAACTCCAATGTAGATATAATCTGTGTGTCTGAGACGTGGTTTGTGTCTTGTCTTAGTAATAATTTTGTATGTTGTGATGGTTACAGTGTATATCGCTCTGATCATGAGGGGCATGCGGGGGGTGTTGCCATATATGTGAAAAATAATCTTAAATGTCGTGTTATTTGTAAACAGCCCATGGGAAGTACCATTGAGTATTTGTTTCTGCACATCTCAACCCACATAAATATGGAAAACATCCTTGTCGGATGTGTATACAGGCCGAATAGGCACACTGAGTACAATGAACTTTTGGATGTTTTTTCCTCTGTGTCTATGAAGTACGCTAATATTATCCTGGCTGGAGACCTCAACAGCAATATGCTCACGGAACGACAGCTAAAGGATGATATGGTATCTCTTGGCATGAAACTTGTAAACACCATTGAACCCACACACTTCTCTCATACCTGTGATACGCTTCTTGACGTATTTTTCGTTAATGACACCAACAAAACTCTCCTTTTTGACAAGCTCTCAGTACCAGCCTTTTCCAAGCACGACATGATTTTCTTGACGTACGATATCTTCTTAGAACAAAGTGACCATTCAATTACGTATAGGGACTTCAGGAACATTGACTATAGGTTACTGCTTGACAATTGCGATAACCTAAACTTTGATGATATATACACTAAGCCCACTGTAGATGAGCAGCTTGAACTGTTCAATGAGAACGTTCAGCATCTATTCAACACTTTTCTGCCTCTGCGACAGAAAACTAGCAAGCCTCTTAAACATGCATGGTTTAACAGTGATACCGATAGTGCAATTAAAAGTAGAGACGATGCGTATAAAAAGTGGAAACGGTATAAGACGTCGGCCCACTTTTTGCAATTTAAAAAATTGAGGCGTTTAGTTGGGCAGAAGATAACCAATGCCAAGCGTGCCCACTACTCATCTAAATTCAATTCAGCCGCTTCAACCAGACAAGTTTGGGCTGAAATTAAAAGGATAGGAGTTGGAAAAAATGTACCCTCTATAAGTCCTGACGTTGACTTAAATGAATTAAACAATAAGTTTGTCCACTTAGCAGTACCTGAAACCATTGCAAATGCGTACCTGAACTCTACATCGTTAGTAAGCTGTGATACTAGTTTTAGCTTTATGTGTACGTCAATGTGATGTCCTAGATTCAATCCTAAAAGTGAAGTCCAATGCTATAAGCCTAGACGAGTTAGATCCCAAATTTTTAAAGTTGCTGCTTCCGAATACTCTAAAATATATTACCCACATTTTTAATACAGCTCTTACAACATCCTGCTTCCCAAATAAGTGGAAATTTGGAAAAATTATCCCTATTCCGAAGGGAGGAGATGATTTTAGGCCAATTTCAATCTTGCCTTTCCTATCAAAAGCAATAGAACATCTAATGACGTACCAAATTACCAACTATATGATAGGAAATTCACTCTTGAAAGACAAGCAATCGGGCTTTAGGAAGAATAGGAGCTGTACCACCTCTTTAATAAAAATCATTGATGACATTCGCACGCAAATGGACAACAGTATGGTAACCTTCTTGACCCTTCTTGACTACTCCAAAGCATTTGATACCGTAAATCATTCCATACTATGTACTAAATTAAAAAGACTATATAATTTCTCTGACACTGCAATAAACTTAGTCCAGTCGTATCTGTCCAATCGCCACCAAGCAGTTGTCACTTCGGATTGTTGTTCGTCTTTTTTGTTAATTAAACGTGGAGTCCCCCAGGGATCTGTGCTAGGCCCATTTCTGTTTTCCATCTATGTAAATGACCCTCCATGTTGTGTGTCAAACTGTGAGTTACATATGTATGCAGATGATGTCCAAATGTATGTGAGTCGTCCTTTAAGTAGAATTGTTGAATGTGTTAGTGCCTGTAATGACGATCTTTGTGAGATACATAAATCTGCGAGGTTAAATGGATTGGAAGTAAACCCGAAAAAGTCAAAATGTTTAGTGATATACAAAAATAATTTAAATACACTCAATTTAGAGAAACTGAGGTTAAATAATGAGCATATCGAATACGTAGAGCGGGTAACCAACTTAGGTATAACTATGAACGAAACACTATCTTGGAATGATCATGTAAACAAAACAGTTGGAAAGCTTTATAGTTCGTTAAGGCATCTGTCTGTGACGCAGCATTTCCTTCCAGTTAAACTCAAGCTCCTAATTGCTAAGACTTACTTGACACCCTCATTATTCTATGGTATTGAAATCTTCGCGAACTGTAATGCTGTAAGCCTGAATAAAATTAAACGGCGTACGCAAACAAGATATACAATCTGACCCTCAACTCCTTGATAAAACTGAGAACTTTAATTTTCTTGCACAGAATTATAACACGCAGAGAACCGAGTTATTTATATGAAAAAATCACCTTCTCCACGTCGAGAAGAACAAATAATTTAGTCTGCATAAAATATAAACTAGCCAGCTCGGTAAGGCACTTTTTTATATACGCTGTTCGGCTGTGGAACGATCTTCCACATAACCTGAAGACAATTACCAGCGAGACGCACTTTAGACTTAAAACTCAAGCACACTTGAAATAGTACTTCTAAATTCTCTTCAACACACACAACGAAACAACTTTAGAAATTATTAATTTAAGTAAACTATTATCACGGCTGTTCTGCTCATCATGGTGGGCACCACCATACAAACAATTTATAGTGATTTCAGTGTCTTTATAGACGGACACTTCTCCTCACCACCCACCCTTCTGATTGCCATTGGTTTTATTCTAATTGCGGTGGCCGCTCTTATTGCTTATGGTGCGATGAGGGAGAGCGTTATGGTTATTAATCTGGTAAGTGGAAACCTACTTATACTGATTTGGTATATAGCCACTAATTGTGTTTTCAGTACGGTGTTTGCCTATTCCTGGTCTTTATACTCGAAGTGTCTACCGCCATTGCCGCCTTTGTTAATGAAGGACAGGTTCGAGGTATGCTGCAGCGCACCATGAATCAGGCATTGGCTGAATATAATAACGATGACTTGGTGAAGGATGCCGTCGACTACATGCAAATTGGCGTAAGTGAGATGAAGTGTTAGCCGAAACAGTTTGCTTCTACAAGTATAATTACATTACAGTTGGAATGCTGCGGCGTGCTCTCTCCTGATGATTGGAATCAATACATGAATGAAACGATCGAAAATAAGAAATAATAATTAAAGCTAAGGCAAATTGTGAAACTCTTAAATGTTTTTTGTAATGTTAAATGTCAATTTAAACTAAATTAATCCTGTAATTAAATTAACAATTAACTGAATGAAATGAATATGTAATGACTAGCGTAATAACTAAAAAGTAATCTCGTACTTGTAACGCTAGGATAAGTTAATAAATAAATAAATAAATCGTTGGCCCTACTTAAATATTTTTTCTTAAGGCATTTTTTGTGCAATTTGTACAATTTGAAAAACAAATTTACGCTCATCAATATAACTATTAGTATTAACAGCATTATTATAGTGTCCACATCTACCTTTTGGGACTCTACTTTATTTATAATACCTGCAGTGGAATCCACTTCCTTGGTATCTATTAAACCCATTATGGGTATACTACTTAACTTTTCCTCAACTATGCCACGTTTATGTAGCTGATCCGTTTCTGCCTGACCTGTCTTGCTGATACTATTGCTATCCATTCATAGCCGTGGTAGACCAAAAAAGGTTTTTTTTCACAATTGATCCCTACAATGGGACAATTTTTACATTTTTTATTCTTTTTTCTTTAAATTTATTATTTTTCTCTTACGTTTTTTTCTGTTTGCCTGGGTACACAACATTTTTCCGTAGTTTTTCCCTCCGTAGAGAAGAGCGACTGCTTTTTCTTCATCGACGGCAGGGTTCACTTTGATTTTTTACTGGAGTTTTCTCTCTTCGTTTGCTTGTTTCTTCTGTATTAGAACGACGTGTCCTGTCACGGTCGCCATGAAGTGAAACCCTTTTGGGTTTCTATCCCGATGTTGTCTCGAACACAAAAACAAACACTTGCGAGTCGTTTGGTAAATCTTTTTTAATTGAAATGTATAAAATGTGCTTAGACTAAAAACTGCGTCGCTGCGTCGCTTCAGCAGAAGTCAGCGGCAGAGCAGCCTTATGTATATATGCTTATATATAACATAAGAGAGTGGTATGCATATATGTCTCATGAGCGGTCAAGAATGCTGACGCGGCTAATTGCGCAAGCTACGTTCAAGTCATTGCACTTGAAAGTGTCGCTGTTTGAATTATGTTTATGCAGCGACAAAGTGTTGCTGGTGTATATATTTGACGGGCACTGGATGCACTCACGACATATGCGCATACTACAGTATATCCTAATTTTAAATTCACATTTGTGTCTTTTCGTGCCTTATTGAGTCAATAAGATCATGCACGAACTCGGAATATGAAACACAGCACTCGTGTCAATGCCGTGCAGCAATGAGCCACAATCAAAAAGCACTGACAATGCCCATATCAATTTGCTAGAGAAAACATTTCAAATCCACCGATACTACCGATATCGATACATAGAAGTTTGAATGCAATAGGCAGAATATCTAAATAATAACATATTTCATGCAATGCGAAGAAGAATATCTCCGTTATTCGGTTACTGCTTTACTATCGTTTACTCAGTCGTTGGCTAGCGATGGTAACTGTAAACTTTTGGGGTTTTGCGACGGGGGGCAACGGTCCCCTGCGTACGCCCTTGTAGTCCGTAAAGAAAATAATCGATTTTCATTGATTCGATTTTATTTTCAAAATTATGTTATGCAATTGGCTCTAATTATGTTGAGTAGGTACTACAAATTTGGAGACGGTCAAAAGAATAAAATATAACAACATATCGTATGAAAAAAAATAACGAAAACAAAAGTTATTAATGAAAACCCTATGCCAAATGTACTAAACAAAGAAAAAATTACTTTTGAAAATGTTAAATAGTTTTTAATTAATTAACATTTCTTGCCCTGTCAGTGGAAGACGAATGTACATATATACATGTGAACATACATTCACACATTAGTGTCTTACATTTTGCTTTGAATATTTCAATCGTTTGAACGCAACTACACGAACAGCTCCTTGTATGTGTGTGTGCATGTTTTTTTTTGTATTCTTTAATATGAATTAAGTAAGGAAGTTAACAGAGAGATGAAGTAAGATATAAAATATATATGAAGCAGCAAAGCTTGCACTCGCCGCCCAAGCGTCCTCGTTAGCGAGCATATTCGCCACAAAATTCGTCGTCGAGGGAGGGGTGCCGTTAGTCGCCTCCCATCGAAGTCTTTCCGCTTCAAAATGAGGGCATTCGAAGGCTGCGTGGTTAGCGTCTTCAATTACTCCTCGGCAGGCGGGACATTCCGCACTGGAGTCGTGCCCGAATCTCTGAAGGTAACTTCTAAAGCAACCATGGCCGCTTGGGAGTTGCGTTAGATGAAAATCAACCTGCCCGTGCGTTCTGTCTATCCACAGTGATACGTCGGGTCAATAGGTCAATAGGGGTCATCCCTGCGATCACTAACACGGCGTCATCCGAAATCGTCCGGAAGCCGGAAGCGGCTGCCCAAATTGGTGCCGCATATAACATTATCGACTTCGTTACGCTCATCAGAAGTAATCTTCGTCCTTGCTTGGAGCCATGCGTGTTGGCCATTATTCGCGACAGGGCCCGTGTTACCTCCGCAGCTTTCTTGTTTGCTTGCTCCAGATGTTCTCGAAAGCATAGCCGTGTATTCAACCTGACTCCAAGGTATGTAATGGAGCGCTTGAATGGAACTAGGAGACCTCCGATGCGAATGTGCGCCTGTTCTACGGTTTTGCGACTGCTGATGAGCACAACCTCAGTTTTGCAAGCCGCCAGTTCGAGGCCAACCGTGGACAGCGAACTCATAATGGTGTCGATGCAGCGATTGCATGCATCTTCCACAGCCTTGATCTCTTTAGCAACGCCTACGATCGCTATGTAGTCTGCGTAACCCACTAGTTCCGTGCCAGGCGGTAGCTGAAGGCGGAGAATTCCGTCGTACATGACGTTCCAAAGCAGCGGCCCTAAGACCGACCCCTGAGGAACTCCAGCGACGACATTAACGGTTTTGGTGCCTGATGAGGAATGGTATCTAAGTAAGCGATTGCTTAGGTAACTTCTAATGGAGCGTACTAAGTGCGATGGTACCCCCTGAGCTGCAAGTGCGTTGAGGATGCATCCCCAATCTGCCGAGTTGAACGCGTTTTTGACGTCGAGGGTCACCACAAGGCAGTATTCCTTTGATCCACCTTTCCACCTGTTGCCTGATATCGCCTTAGATGCGATGTCCACCACTTTGCTGATTGCGTCAATCGTGGACCTCGATTTCCTGAACCCGAATTGGTTTGGAGATAGGCCGATGGCTGCCTCGAGCCTCACGCACAGCAGTCTCTCCAGCACCTTACCGATTGAGTCCAGGAGACAAATCGGCCTGTACGACGAGGGGTCTTCAGATGGCTTGCCAGGTTTTAGCAGCAGGACTAGGTTCTGAACCTTCCAGCAATCTGGGAATATTCCTTCTCTGATGCACTTTCCAAAGAAAGCGGCGAACGTCTCGGGGTGCATGCACAATGCCAGTTTGAGGGCGCGGTTCGGTATTGCGTCCGGGCCCGGCGCTTTGTTGGGCTTCAGGCTGCGAGCGGCTAGTATCACTTCATCCCTCGTGATGTCGTCAATGGTGGGCGATAGTGCGTCTGTGGTGGATATCAGCACTGGCGTCTCTGGTCTCGGGGGGAATAGAGTTGCGACAATCCGAGCAAGGTTCTCGGCATCCAGGGGTGCGTCGCGACCACCAGCATGAATGTGCTTTACTACCAGCTTATACGCCTTCCCCCAGGGATCCTGTTCTACGGAGTCGCACAACTCTAAAAAACATCTCTTCTTGCTTGCTGAGATAGCCCTTTTCAGCAGTCGCCTAGACTCCCGGTAGATATCCTGCCTGAGCGAGAACAAGGGCGAACCACGTGCTCTCTGGGCCCCTCTCCTTGCACTGATGCATGATCTGCGTAGTACTGCGATATCATTATTCCACCAGTAAACTGAAACGTAGTGGCGCCTGTACGTCGAGCGTCTGGCCATGCTGGCGTCACATGCAGTACGAATTTGGGACGCGGCGTCTAGAGCCATGGTCTGCGGGTCCCCGGAGAGGACCACGTGGTCGCTTGCCGTGTAAGCGTCGCTTATAGTCCACTTGGTATGGCTGTGGAGGGAGCTGCTAGCGTACGTCAGGGCGATAATGGAACCGATGCAAGCAAACTCCGACAGAGATAGACTGGGTGGAAGATAGCAGCTGTAGACCCACAGGTCTGCAACTTTAGCTCTCACAAAGAAGTTTCCAGCTTTTGGTTCTGAAAAGGTGAGCTCTCTAGAACCACAAAGCCAAAGAGCAGCCTTGCCGGACAGATCCGCAGCCCATTTGTTGCTACTGCTGGTTTTGTATGGCTCACTTAGTATTGCCAGGCTGATGCTCTCCTCGTTGATTGTCTGCAGCAGCAGGTCCTGCGCTGCGATGCAATGATTAAGGTTGAGCTGAAGGATCCTTAGCATCTTGTTTGTCTTACGGCCTCCTTGTATGCCGGACATTTGAAGCTGCCAGTGGCGTGGTCAGTCGATGGTAGACTCTTTTTTGCGCACAACAAGCTTTTCGAGCTATTTGCCCAGCTTCTGGCTAGGTGCCCCTTTTCACCGCACCTGTAACAGGCATCTTTAAGGTCCTCTACGCTGTTACACCTTGTTGCCATGTGACCGAAACCAAGGCACTTGTAGCAACGTGTTGGTCGGATAACTCCTCGGATGCGGCAGATAACCCATCCTACCCGTACTTTCCCTGTTTCTATCAGCACTCTTGCCTTCTCCACAGGGAGCGATAGTAAAGATATCTGCTGTCCGCCGTTCACCTTGCGGATTGACTTTATAGCATCTAAACCGATGTTAAAGTCCTCTCCAATTGACCTGAGCGCTTCCAGAATCTCCTCTTTGGTGACCAGCTCGTCCAGATCCCGGATCTCCAGCTGGGTCTCCTCCACTAGCGGCTTGACTACAGCCATGCCCTGCAATGCCTCCTCAGCTTCGTGCAGCCTCCCAATGTCATGGGTCGGTGATCTGCTCATTTGTAAAAGCAGACTGCCGTTGCCCGTTCTTCTGA